GCTGCAAGCTGAAGTTTCGCGTATGGAGCCACAATCTTTTGTGCAGCTGAGGGCGTGGGCGCATCAAAGTCCCTTGGCCTTGGAGACGGTGTAGTCAATGAGTCCTGCACATTGCTAGGTGGTGAGGCTAGATGCCACAAAACAACTATCCCAAGCCTTCGGCTTCTCAGACGCCCGACTCTGTGACTTGCGAGGAGGTTCAGCCTTCACAAAGTGTTGCAACTAGAACTCATTGGGTCAAAGTTGAGAAATGTTCCTTCTAGTCGGTTTTCTTCAAATCATCGCAAAAGCCTCTTCATTTCCCTCTTCATCATCATATTCTCCAAGACGTAGGGTTTTTGCTCGGAGCAAAGCCTCCTCCAACAAAGACAAGACATAGTGCGGCAATCTCAGGTTAAAGTGGCTCCTCATAGATCCGGATGCCCTCGCAATCTTCATCAGCTGCCGCATCCTCATAGGAGCCTGTGCGCAAGAGTTGGCCCAACAAACGAAACGCGGTTGTTTCAAATTGACAGTCTTATTCCACAAACTTCTAAAGGAAGGGTACTGGCCTGGGACATATGCAGAAGTCGCGTCCCCAGAGTTCGCGGAAAGAGCCCATGCGATTTGGTCTTCACCTGCAGGTGCTGCAATTCAGATCCAAAATAACCCTACACTAAGATGGAGTGCAAAGCTCCCCTACCAAAGGGAAGCCCAAATAGGTTTAAACAGTATGAATAAATCTAGGGCAAACTATAGCCGATTTAGCCTTATTTGTTTTGGCCTCTATCGACCTCCCTTGGATAAGGATGCAACCACTGCTTTTTGCCAAGGTGCTGAACCATGATTCCAATTCCTCATACTGTTCTGAGGGTCCCAAATATTGTTTAAAGAACGAGTTGGTGTGATTGGCAAGTGTTTCTATGAAAGTCAAGTGGCGCTTCTGTTCTTCTTCTTCATCGAACCATGGGTCCGTGTTCTTCAAAGCGGTGAACCATTCCCAAGCCTGGCAGGTGCATGACGGTGTCTCAAATTAGAAGGTGGAAACAGGGTGTGCCTTGTCGTTCTTCTGCCCAACCACTCCCTCACAAGAAACAAAACCAGAAGTGCACTGCTCGACCGAAGACCAGCCAGCCTCGTTCTGAGATTCGGCCATCTCATCGTCCTGGCATTGATCTTGAGACATCGTGTCACACCGGATCTTGGACAATTTGGCGGGATGAGCTCTTGGAAGAAATGGGGTGGGAAACTCAGGGCGTGTCCCACGGCGTGTCCTGGTAATGTTTCCAATACTCATCCGGGTGATCCATCCCATCCTCGTAGGGCCCAGCCTCACAAGCCACAAGATTCCAGTGAATTCTATCCCCACAAGTCTGGGCAGGCCTCCTGCTCAGAAAAGGCTGCCCCAGCCTTTTCCTGAATTTTTTGGTGGCAAGAAAAGAAAAAGCAATGGCCGGTTGATTGATCGAAGACTCCTCCCCATCGATGGCGTTGGAGATCGGGTTCCATGCAAGTTCGTCCTCGCGTTCAAAGCGCCATAAAAGGGAAGCAATGGTTTGTTGAAGAGTCCTCCCCATCATCCCCATCTTCATCTTTGGAGATGTTCCACGCCGAACCGTCCTCGCATTCAATTCGCCATGCCTTTTGACCATAACAGGTTAAACTACATTTGCTTGTCAAGTGGTTCAAAAGTGCATGAGCTTGAGCGTTGAGTCCTCCCAAAAAGTGCGCTCATCAAGATCCTGGCAAGTACAGGGGGATAGAATTTCTGTTCAACAGTTTTGTGCACCACATAACTCTGCTGGCCTCAAGCCACCAGTTGGAATCATAGCTGGGCCCGTAGGTGGGCCACCAATCAGCATTTGGTACCTATTCACACACAGAGATTGAGCGCGCTTTGCAACTTGGAGCCCTAACTAGACATGTACTTGAAGTGCGCCTCAACACCAACTTCATCCTGTTCCTGGCAGGATTGAAAGGTTTATGAAGGGTTCAGATCGATGTCCCAGGGCACAGGCCTTCTTCTTCTTCTCAATGCATTTCTTTGGAACAGGAGGTGGCAACATCAGGCTGGCCTAGCGATGTTGTAGGTGCATACATAGCGCATGTTTTCATGACTGATTCTTCATTGTGGTGTCCTGATCTTTCCAAGATCCGCTTTCGAATCCCAATGGTTGTATTCTTACAACGCAAAAAGCTGGACACCACATATATGTAGTATTTAATATACAGAATAGAATACAGAAAAGAAGAACACACGTCAGGCCAGTTGAGGGAAACAGATGGGCCTGGTCTCCAATATCTTCATCACTGCGCCTCGATCATTTTGGAACAAAACATCAATCCGGGCCAGCCAAGGATTTGAGAAGTGGCCTGTTGCAAGCTGCTTCGACGGCAGCAATCTCCTGCACTTCCTGCCAGAGGGGCGATGACCAATCTGAGGTGATTTGAAACTCAGCTGCATCACATGTGCGCCCACCTCGCTCGACAGGGGCTGTGTCTCCAGGGCGTCCATTCTTGGAGCAGGGGCTTTTTGGTCAGGTACTGTGAGTTTGCGCTTCCGAGCCAGGACAAGTAGCGAGCACATTCGAATCCACTCATCCTTTGGCGTCACGCCTAAACCAAACTCTTCCCTCAACAAATTGCACACCTCACGAGCCAAGGCCTTCGTGAGAATCCTTCCTTTCCCAAAGTACTTGTTGATCCACCCACCAAAAAGCTGCCTCAAACTTGACCGCTTCAAGGAACCAAGGGGAAGCAACCGGTTGGTTCCATGAATGCGGGTTTGGTGGCTTTCTTCTCGAAGCCTTTTGGCAAGACGTTTTGCGATTCGAGCAGCAAATCGCGCGCGAACTTCCTGTTGTTTCCGCTGTCGAGAGGGCATGGCAACACTTTGATCTGGGCAGATCAAGGTTCAAAGGCTACGTATTCTTTGAATGTTGTTGGGGGTGATCATTGTTTTTTACTACATGATCCTGCCCTATATATATACAAGCTTTTGGGTCCATGTGTACAGCCGCTTGAGCTAAATTTTGAAGGTTCACCATCAAAAGTCCCATGGCCACCGGCCTCGATCTGAGGAATGGGCGGATCACATGGGGTGTGGCAAAAGTGCGTTCAGCACGATCGCTTCCGGCGGGCGGTTGAGATAGATTGATTATGATTGGTTGTTATTGAGATTGGGCTCCCAGAAAAACTTCATACCCTCCTGATGGAATAGACGAGTTTTTGAGGGTTGGACCATTGAAGGGAAACATCCTTTAAGTTTTATATAGTTGGGTTGCGAGTTACAACGACCATGCATGGTGAATGTCGTTGAGCCTGTGTTCCCCTGCGAAATGCAC